GTGATGATCATTACTTAACTAAAAACCACTCAATTGTACAATTTAAAAGGGAAAATTTCATGGTATGTGAATTTTATATCAATAAAAATGTAATTATCTTTTTATTTAAACAAAGCACAGCTGGGCATAGTGGCACATGCCTGTAATACCTGAGGCAGGAGGATCATGAGTTCAAAGCCAGCCTCAGCAACCAAGTGATACCTTAAGCAACTTTGCCAGACCCTGTCTCTAAATAAAATACTAAAAAGGGCTGGGAATGTGGCTGAATGGTTAAGTGCCCCTGAGGTTCAGTATCTAGTACAAAAAATAACTCACATTGCTTTAAATTTAAAAGGAAAAATGTCATTATGGTTAAGGAAAGAGAAAACAAGACTTAAGGAACAGGAATACTATGAATACTACCTGAATGGTGACAGGTGCACAGAGAACGGATGCTAGTAAAAAGGGTCGTTGACAAATTGGGCTAGTGTCCTGAACCAACTGGAAATACCTTATTATACAAGAAATTTTAGCATGTAAGAAAGAGCCTAAGAAGAACAGCTTAGGATAGACTTGTTAGCATCTTGAAATAGTTGATGAAATACAACTATTAAAGGGAGATTAATTAATTATACATTAACTAAKGTATAATTCCTAAAAGCCAAAGAAGAATCAGGGAGTGGAAGTTCCCAGGGAACAGAACCATTATTTAAGTAGAACTGTCTATCATACAGAGAACTGGGTTCACAATCACTGGAAGGAATCACACAGAGGTGGGCCAGTAATCTTGTGCTAGGAATATTGTTGGAGCATTCCTGTTTTAGAAGGAGTGTCAGGCTAAGTAACTGGGGCATCTCTCAAACTGATGTCTCTGTTGCCTCTTTCTAAATAGTGTCAGTTGTCAGAAAAAGTGAAAGGGATCACCACTAGTAAATGAAATATTCTCTTTCCAGTAAAATAACATAGTGGGAAATTGTGACAAAGATCTGTGCACTCTAGCTTAATGGTTCTTTTGACACAAAATGAAAATGGGACACAGGAAAATGTCAGAGATGCCACTGAAGTTGCTCATGCTGCCGGCAGCAGTGGTGTCTGCCTGTAATCCCAGCGGCTCTGGAGGATGGGGCAGGAGGATCACAAGTTCAAAGCCAGCCTCAGCAACTTAGCAAGGCCCTCAGCAATTCAGCAAGACCTTGTCTCTAAATGTAAAAAGAGACATAGATGTGGCTCAGTGGTTAAGTGCCCCCAGGTTAAAAAAAAAAAAAAAAGTTGCTCATGCTGTGCAAAGGGACATTTTTTGCAGGATTTTCAGTTTAGAAGCTGACAGAGATCAGAGATGACCTCATGGAAAACTACCTGCAAACCTGAGGTGGTAAGTGAAGCTCACTGAATAGTTCAGTGGTATACCCTCAGCTATGGTATTTGTACCTTTAAGAGGTGGGGCCTAGTGAGAGGTCTTAGGTCACTGGGGGCATGGCCCCAAAGGGGATTTGTGGGGTTGTTTTTTTTTTAAGAGAGAGAGAGAGAGAGAGGTTTTTGTTTGTTTGTTTGTTTTTGTTTTTGTTTTTGTTTTTTTAGTTTTAGGCAGACACAACATCTTTGTTGGTATGTGGTGCTGAGAATCGAACTGGGCCACACGCATGCCAGGCGAGCGTGCTACCGCTTGAGCCAAATCCCCAGCCTCCCAAAGGGGATTTGATTTGGTCTTTGATTCTCTCTGTATGTGCTTTCTAGCCACATGAGGTGAGCAACTTGCATTAGCATGTGCTCTGCATCATGACGTTTTGCATCACCACAGGCCCAACAGCCATGGGACAACCAACCCTATACAGAAACCTCCAATACTGAGAGTCAAACTAGACCTGTCCTCTTTTAGCATTAAGTAACTTACGTATTTGTTAGAGTAACAGAAATCTGACTATTGCATGCAGCATATGGGTGTGATCTTTAAATGTGCTCAATAATGCATCATGGAGCTGTACCTTATTTCACCCAGTGAAGATAATCAACAGGCGGGTCTTTTTTAGGTGGCCTGGTGGCTTATCTTCATCACTGAATACTGAACACACCACACATCATGTTCTCTCTCTCTCTCTCTCTCTCTCTCTCTCTCTCTCTCTCTCTCTCTCTCTCCTCCCAAGTTTCAACAGTTGAGGCTTGAATGAGCCAAATGAAATGATGCAAGTTGTCATTATGAATATTATTGGTATAGTGAAGAAGTTCTTTTTTCAATTCCATCTCTCTTTCAAACACTTCTGTAAGCAACTTTTTTTTTTTTTTTTCTCAATTGTCAGCCAGCTTTGTTCTGGAAGTGCAAACTCCCAGCTCTTTGTTTGTTGTCTCAGGACAAGTAAACCCAAATTTAGGTATTGTTCTGTAATAGTCCACGCTGGTGCTGTCAGGGAACAGCCTTCCTCCTCAAACTATTTGGAAAGTCAGGCTTCTTTTATCTGTGGCTGTGTCCTCCCCTGGGCCTTGAGTGCATCTGTATCTCACAGTGAAGTAAAGGGCATGGTAAACAGTGTGTGAGAGATTTTATCACCGAGTCAGGAAAGCATTATTTTGTTTGGTTCAGGAAAACCTGACTGGTTTACCAGAGAAGTCAGCTTTGAAGCCTTTATGTCATTATCAAATGAAGTTTCACACATAACACTCTGGGTTCCAGAGCCAATGGATCATCAATGCAAGTGAAAGTAGGTTTCATAGCCATTTCYGTTCTTACTATGAATAAGATTTGCATGATCCAGCATCCAGAGGTTCTGTATTTGCATTGGAATCCAGTTCTCTGCTTACCCTTTGGGTATTATGCTAAGTTGTAGTGTTTACATTCTTTTATTATTCTTTTAAGCTTTAATAAATCACTTCTGAACACTTTGCCTATTTTTGTGAAATGGGGATATAATGCAATATAAAGGCAATGAAACAAGGAAAAGCAATGTCATTCAAATGATATGGAAGTACATCAGCCAAAAGGAATGGCATCCCATTAAATATCATGGTACCGTGACATTAAATGAGAAGATAATTTAAGAATACAACAACTCATACCAATGACCAAGCAAGCATTAAGCAGCAACATAGTGGCACCTGCTGTTAGATTTTCATACTTCCAACAGACTCAACATGTAAGGAGCCCACAGGAATATAGACAGTTTATTATTAACATAAACAGCAAAATAAAAATCACTATGCTATTAGCTCCCTRTATCCCCAATCCCACAGCATGACACCAAAAAAAGAGACTAACATATCAGGAATGGTGAATTGCTCTGTGTGGAGGAACAGGCCAAGGCCAGTGTTGCATAAACCTGAGGGTGAGTGTCCTCTTAAATTTTGTCCCCTAGGTACCTCATTTGTCTCATCTTGGTCATTGTCCAGTTGAGGAACAACTTTAAACAACTGCCACACAGTTTTGTAGATTTACACCATAGATTTAACCATACCCTAAGGTGGGAGCACAAGGCAAAGAGTTCTGCCTTCAACYGAAACTAGGGAGATAGATGAGAGATGACCTGTGACAGACTCCTAAAGACAGAGATGAGTCACTGCCCCAAGACGGCTCCACACCAGGCTGATTCTCTCCCTGACTGCAGAAGGAATCAGGCCATTGGGAGTTATTCGGCTTTACCTATGTGGACTTAGTGGAGATGCTCAGGTTGCTGGGATGCCACCACAGAGTTGTTTCCCTAGAGATTAGTATCTGAAGAATGATAAATCTCAATTTATTGCTTTCTGTAGGAAAGTAGAATTGGACCGATCGTGCACATTCTCTCCAATCAGAACAAACTATTGATCTTAGACTTTTTTTTTTTTTTTTTTTTTGGCAAAGAGATGTTTAGATAGTAGTCATTTTCAGAGGCATTAGGTAGAGATTGGTACAAACAACCAAGGAGTTGGTTATTTCCATGAGGCTATTGACTCTCAGAGGTACCACACCCAGCTCTTGGAGATTGGCTGTCCTTAAAAGGCTGGCTTTGATCATTGAGCTATTGGCCTTGCTGGATTGCTGAGGTCCTTACTGCTACTGGTTACTACGGCTTCAGGACCATCATTACTTCTCTAGTTATGGGAACCTTTTTCTATTTTTATAGGTAAAAGAATACCTATGTATTTTAGTCCTTAAACCTTTTAAAATTAATAAAACATCAGTGAAGCAAATTTTCATATATACCTGTATACACACACTTTTCCCCCCCTCGGAAACTTCCAGAAAACTTTCTGATTACTTGACAATTTAGAACAGCAATGTCCTACCTGGAACTTTTTTTTTTCTTTTTAACTTTTTTTAGTTATACATGGACACAATATCTTTATTTTGTTTATCTATTCTTATGTGGTGCTGAGGATCGAACCCAGTGCCTCACATGCAAGCGCTCTGCCAGTTCCCCACCTGGAACTTTGGGAGGGAAGGGGTTGGGCTTTGTTTAGTCTCCAGCYTAGGTCCTGCACATGATTGGTACTTGATTCCTGGATGAATGGGTGAAGTATTAGAAACCCCAGCCCTTGGGAAGAGCCGCAGAAGAAAAACAGAAGGCAAACAAGGAGGTCCTAATGCGTTGCTAGGTTGCTCTGTAAGACAGGGAAGATGATTTTTGTAAATACTTAGGAGATATTAGTACCGTTCTTCCTGTGGGTTATACGCACGATGTGTGTGTTACCTCAGTTCCAGTGTGCACTGTTTCACCTAATTGTCAGRGCGCCAGCTACCTGGTACCTGTCCYAATTCATAAGGATTGTGAGGATGGATGGATACTGGGATGAGGATAGCTTGGCCAAATCCAAGCGCTAGAACTTGGACGGAGGAGCCCTCGCCTCTGCGCTCGGGATTTGCGAAGCGAAKGGTAATTCCGCCTTCCACAGGACAGGAGCCAGCGAAGAAAACAAGGCTAGGAGCGTTGCCAGAGCTGGGGCGTGGTGATGGTAGGGTGTCCCGGGAAGGAGCTGGACTGCTGACTGGAGGAGGCCGWGGGGCGGCGGGAGGCGGAGCCCGGGCACGCCTACACAACTGGCCGTGCCTCGGGGCGGGAGGCACTAGCAACACAGGCCGCCGAGGGAAATGGCTGAGTACTTGCGGCTGCCCCACTCCCTGGCGCAGATCCGCCTCCGAAACCCGCCGGTCAACGCSATCAGGTAACGGGCTCCGTCCCCTCGGCGCGCAGCGTCGCTGGTCTGTGGCTCTGCCACCTTTGACTCGCCCTGCTGGTTGAAACTGAAGACACTAACAGTAGGGGCCATGGCTCACAGCAGGGCCTTTTAACCTAAGTTGGCTGGGTTATGCTTGACCAGGTAAGCGGGTGGAGCAAACTGCGAGAGATGGAACTGAGCGGTGGAGAGGGGCGTGCTAAACCTTTCTGCTTGCTTGCAACATCTACTTCTCAAACGTTCAGTTGCAAAGTTCTTGGGTGAGTGCAGGACCGTGATCCAAAGCTCCAGGTGTCCTACAGTAAAGGGGCTAGATAAAGGAAAAGGGATGGGGGACTTGCTCTTGGGCAGAGACTTGCCTAACTATGCGTGAGGCCCGGGTTCATCCCTGGCCCAACAGAAAATAGGAAGACACATAAAATAAAGTAAGTCCCAGTGAATGCCAACACACTGAGTAAAGGAGATTTGTCCCTGCGTAGGAAACCCTAAATTATTTCTCCTGATCTGTTCTAAATCTCAGGGCCAGAGAGCATCCTTAGAGGATCTATTCTGAGTAACCACTAGGTAGCATTTTCTGAAAGATTACATTTTAACTTCTTTTATTTAATTTGATTTATTTCTGCAGTGCATGTAGAGTGTTACTTTACAAGTAAGACCAAAACTCCCGGTTTGAAAATTGATGAAGTTCATTTGGTGTGGTTCTTCTAGATCTCTGAATAAAGCCACCCATCCTCTGAGAGTCAGATTAGTGAAAATTATAATTTACAAAGAATATAATGAACAGATAGAAAGGTCTTTGATGAAATTCTCATTACATGTTGCGGGAGCAAATAGAGATGAAAAGAGACCTGCTAATTTTAACTGAGCTTTTATCCTATTGTCGTTGTATTGGACTTTCAGTCTTAGTTTTCATATTACCCTTCTTATAATATGAAGGTAGGTTAATTATACAAAAAGAGACGAAATTAAATCACAAATCTCTAATTGTCATTCCCATAAAAATGTAAAATATCATTATGTTGGTTTTGACAAACATGTAAGTAATATGATTCCATAGCCCTTTGGACTGCTCACTGATTGGATTATTAMATATTAGGATTCTGCTGCTACCGGAGTTTCTGCTCATAATGGACAGCTATTCCCATCAAGAAATTAGGGGGGGGGGAAGGTTTCATAGCCTAATACTCATAACTAGCAATGTTTTGTGATAACTGCTTGATATATTTCTGGCATTTAACCTGATAGCCCCTCTACCCACCCAGGAGTAATGTATATACTTACCTCACAAAATGGTTGTGTGGAGCCAGGCACAGTATTCATGCCTGTAGTTTCAGTTACTTGGGAGGCTAAGGTAGGAGGCTTGCAAGTTTGAGGCTAACCTCAACAACTTAGTGAGACCTCGTTTCAAAACAAAATTTACAAAATAAGTGAGGTTGCAGCTCACTGGTAGAGCACCCCTGGATTCAATCACAAAAAAATAAAAAATATRTATAGTCGTGAGGATTAAATGATATGAAGGTTTTAAACTTCCTGTTAGTGAGAAGGCCTGTTACAAGCCCTTGTCAGCAGACCTGATGCCCAGGATCCACTTCTGTTTTATCAAGAATTACTCCACTTGGTTGTACATTGCTGGTGGGACTGCAAATTGGTGC